TCCTGCCCGCCGTGCTGCTGCTCGTGGCGCCGCCGCTGCCCGCCGCCGACGCCGCACACGAGTTCACCGTCTACCGCATGCAGCAGTATGACCTGCAGGGCCAGCCCTACGGTGCGTGCACCCCGCGTCCCCGGCCCCCGGCCCGTGCTGGGGTCCGGCCCCGCCAGCCCGGCCTGCCTAGGTCAAGCCCCCCGCAGAACTCACCTGGCCGGGCGGACCCTTCCTCGGCCCTGGCGAGGCAGATCCCGGCTGCCCTGGACCTCACCTCGGCCCCCTGTCTCCTGGCCTAGTGCCCCAGTCATCGCGTTAACTTCCATAGGGCCCAGGCCTCGCCCCCTGGCTTCCCCGCCTGTCCGTGACCCGACCTTCGGACCCACTCCCCTCTTCTCAGCCCGTAAGGCTCCTCCCTCCCTGGCTCCCAGGTGGGCTCAAACCGAACCAAACCCCTTGCTCTCAACTCCCTTCTCAGGCACACTCCCCCAACCATGCCGAACCCGGAACCGGCCAGATCTTTGGCCTGCTTTCTGGAGGGCCCCCTCGCCCCACACTGCAGGGCACCAGGGCGTGCCTGCCCTCCTTGCCCAACACCAGCACGCTGCCCCCACCCCCACCCCCCAGGCCTAGCCCCTAGAGGACAGGCCCGTTTCTATCAAAACTTCTGACTCCCACTGCACCCAGCTCCCTCAAACTGCTCCCTCCACCCACCTCCCTAAGTCATCCCTCTGGCCTTTGAAAAACCTCACTTCTTAGCCCCCTGTGGCTTGCACTCAGGACCCCAGTCCTTGAGCTACTCCAACGCATTCCCCCATCCAAGTTGGCAGCCCCCTATGGCTCCCCAGCCCCAGTGGCTCCCAACTCTGCCCTCCCATTCTTCTCCTGCCAGTCTGACCCCAGGGCCCCAGACCCCATCTCCCCTCACAAAAGTAAAACACCACCAGTTTTGATTCAGCGAGGCCCCATGGGGCAGTGAGACCCGCCCCACGGTCTTCCCAGGCTGTGGTCTTTATGGAAACATCACCAGGCCATTCTTATGCGGAACTGCTGGCTGGTTGTCCCCAGTGTCCAGCTCCTAATCAATCCCCTTGTCTCCTGGCTGTAAAGGTATCTAGGACCCCCCAGCAAGGGCTAGACATTCCAGAGCCTTCTGGTACCACCAGCAGATATCCCTGTTTTTTCCCCCCAGCCTGACCTCCCATTAAGGAGCCCCCTCCCCAACTTCTCTCAGCCTCTTCACCTGGGAACCCATGCTCTCCTGAATCCACCCTTTGGTGGGACATCTTGGGCCCAGCATGGGGAGCTTAGGTGTCTAGTCTCATCCCCAGAGATTGATGGAAACCTTCTCTCAGGCTGTACCCTCTGCCCCTCTCCCCCGAAGCCACTATTGTCACTATTGGTTCCATTGACAACAGTGGACTCAAACAGGGTGATTCTGCACCCCCACCCCCCAGGCACACCTGGTGATGTGTAGCAACGTTTGTGAGGAGCCCCATTGGCATAGCGGTTATGCATTTGGCTGCGGATGCACGAGGTCAGCAGTTCAGAGCTACCAGCCTGCTTGAACAGTGACACTCTTGGAAACATGCAGGGGCAGTTCTATCCAGCCCTCCATGGTTGCTGTTGACCCGATGGCAGGGAGTGGGTGTCACACGAGGTGATCCTATTGGACTCTGAAAGGCGGAGCCCAGGGACGCCGCTGGACAAGGCACGGGATGGCCCCACCCCATGTGGCCCCAGAAAAGCAGTGAATGAGCCAGGTGTGGGTCTGAGGCCCTGGAGGGGGAGTGGCCCCAACAGCATGAGCATGTAGATAGGCATCATCTGGCGTTTTTCTGGGGAAGGGTCTTTACTTGGCCTGTCGCAGGGGGTACGGGCTCTGCCAGTATATATGGGAGCCCCCAGCCCCACACAGCCCGGGGCATTCAAAACAGACCCGAAGGGGAATGTAACACGGAAGCAAAGTGGAGCAGGCAGAGGTGGCTCCCCAGCTGCAGCAGCAGAGGCAGCCCTGGTGGCCCCGGAGGTGGCTGGGGGCGGGGGTGGGGGAGGGGAATTGGGTGCAGGTGCCCAACCTTTCTCTTGAGGCACCTCAGGTGGACTTGGTACATTTCGAGGTTAGGTACTCAAACCAAAGCAAAATTCAAACCCACTGCCACCAAGTTGGTACTGATTCCCAGGACCCCTGGGGTTTTGGAGGCTGTCAGCCTTGGCAGGAGCAGGCAGCCTCATCTTCCTCCCTTGTACTAACTGGTGGATTTGAATCACTGACCTTGTGGTCAGCGGTCTGGTGATAGAGCCATTGGACCAGCTGGGCTCCTGTGCCTCTCAGGGATTCCAAAATAGCCCAAACTCACCATTACTGAGTTGGTGTTAACTCATGGGGACCCTGTATGGAGTTTTGCCGACGCTGTAAATCTTTGTGGGAGCAGACAGCTTCATCTTCTCCCGAGCATGTGGTTGTGAACCGTCGACTTTGGGGTTAGAAGTCCGGTACCTGACCCACAGCACCACCAGAGCTCCTCGGGTGATACACCAAAAACCAAACTCCCTGCTGTCGAGCCGATTCCAACTCATAGTGACCCAGTAAGACCGAGTAAACTGACCCCTGGTATTTCCGACGGTCGGTCTTCAGATCAGCGGAGAGCCTCTTCTTTCTCCTGCAGAGTGACCAGTGGTTTCCAACTGCTGACCCTGTGTTATGCAGCCCAAGGCACGACCCGTGGCACCGCTAGCCCACTCTGCCACCAGGGCTCCTTAATTTTTGCAGGAGTTGACTGGCTGCCTGGCCTTTCCCTTAAGGCCCTTGCAGGCAGACCGAAACCAGCCTTTGGTTCATTGCTGCTGAGTGCATGGACCGCACACCAGGCTGGCGCGTCCTTGTTGGACAGCACCCTAGGGTGCCTGTGGATATCTCAGAGGAACCCCTCAACGAAAAGGCCTGGGTCCCAGAACCCCGCCCCCTTCCTCACCCGCAGCCTTGCTGAGATGAGAGCTTCTTGCCCAACCCCTTCCCAGCGGACCCAGCTCTCTCTGCGGCCGGCTGGGTGACTGCCTACACCCTGCCCATGTCCCCTGGCTGATCATGCTGCCTGGCTTGTGGCCCCAGTGGTCCCCGTCCCTGTCCACATCCTGCAAATGATGACTGAGGTGGTCGACCCACCAAGCCACCCCTCCCGGTTCAGCCTGGCGGCCAGTCTGATGAGCCAAAGTTGCCCTGTTAGGACGCCCCCCACCCCACTCCACTCCACCCCACCCCTGGCCTCCTCATCATGTGCCATGTTTCTGCCCCTCTTCCCACAGGCCCTTGGCTTCCTTAGCTTCCCCTCAGCCTCTCCGTTTCCTTTGCCCCTCAGGCAGACAGACAGTCGGACACCTGTTTGCCATCAAGTCACTGTATAGCGCCCCCACACCTCCGGATGGAGTAGCGCTGCCCTGTGGGGCTTCCTCGGCTGTCGGCACAGAAGCCGAGCGCCAGCTCTCTCTCCCTCGGGGCCCCGAGGGGGGGCAGACCTTTCAGGGAGCAGTCAGGCCCTTCACCACTGCACCTCCAGGGTCCCTCACCCCGCCCCAGGCACAGCAGGGCTGCAGAGGGTGTGCAGTGGCTGGGCCGGGTCTGTCTGTCTGTTTTTGGTAGATTGCCAGGCCTTTCTTCCGATGCACCTCCCGGTAGACTTGAGCCACCACCCCGGTGAGCAACAGAGGGAGCTCACCGACTGCCCCGGGGATGTGGGGGCTCACCGACTGCCCCGGGGATGTGGGGCTCCTCCTGTCGCCTGTGGGTTTCTTTCCCTCTTCTCCCTGCCTGCCCTCTGGTCTCCATCCCTCTGGCTGAATGGCCCCTGGTGGCACTGTGGGTGAGGCTTCCAGCTGCCAACTGCCCAGTCAGGGTTCAGACCCACCAGCTGCTCACAAACACTGCAGCCTCTGAAACCCTGGGAGTGGTCCTGCTGTGTCCCGTGGGGTCTCTGAGTCCGGGTGGACCTGGTGGCAGTGGGCTGGGTTTGGGTTCCAGTGAAGACTTAGCCCGCCTGGCCTCCCCCAGCTCAGCTGGCCACACAGAGCAGCTGACATCCCGAGGGGCTGCAGTCCACCTCAGCTTCCTGCAGGTGTGGTGCCAGTCGCCACAGCCACCTGCCGAGCAGGTGGGTCCAACCTGGGAGCAGATGGTCATCGCCGTGAGAGATGCCCACCGGAATGTCAGTGCGCGAGGTCCCTGGTGGCACAAGCAGGAAGTGGTCAGCTGCTGACCTCAAGGTTGGGCGGGTCCATTCCACACTGGAGGTGCCTCAGAGGCAAGGCCTGGCATTTGCTTCCCTGTGTACTGAGCGGCTCCCTCCGCAGGGTTCTCAGGCTGCTAGGTTGAAGCTGCCACCCAATGATGTCCAGCTGCATGATGGCCTGGCACACCCTGTGGGGTACAGCACCCTATAACCCACTCAGGCTCCGGGATCAGCATGGATTCAATGGTCGGGCGTGGAGGGTGGAGGGGGAGCACATTTCAACAATGGGGAGACTGGTGAAAGCAGAGTAAAGCGAGAACTGGCCTCCTCTTCGTCCTCCCTGGCAGAAATCCAGACCATTGTGCCCCCCCCCCAACCTACCAGTCCCTCCCTAGCCGAGTCACCTCTGTGTGCAATTTCCTTTGCGATGTCTCAAGAGTCCTCTCCCCTGTGCCAGTGAGCCTGTCCAGTCCACCCCTTTCCTAACTTCCTTTCCTGCTGTTGAGAAATACCGGTGTGTGTGGGTATAGATGCAGTGGGGTGGGGCAGGGCGAGACCTGTAGGGGGTGGGCACTGGGGGCAGGGCCGGGCCCTTCCAGGCCCCAGGGAGCTCTTTGTGCCCCATGGGAGGTGGTTCCGAGGGTGATTGCCAGCCAGGTCCAAGGCCGCTGGTGATGCTCCACGCCCTTCCTGCCAGCCAAACTCTGGCCCTGCCCTGCGTTCTGGGTGGAATGGCAGCATAGGGGAGCGTGCTGGGGGGCAGGGTGGGCTCAGTGGTAGGGGGTCTCCTGATCACTCAGAAGGTTCCAATGTAAGTCCCTGCCCCGTGCATGTTCCCACCCACCTGTCCCCGGAGGCTGGGTGCTGCTGCCCTGTGGAACATGTTTGAGTGGAACTTCCACACCCAGACAGGAGCCCTGGTGGCACAGTGGCCGCCCACTGAGCTGCTAACTGCAAGGTCAGCTGTTTGAAACCATCCGCCAGTCTGGAAGAAAGAGGTTTTCTACTGTAAAGAGTTACAGTATCAGACGTCCAAGGGGCAGTTCTGCCCTGCCCTTAAAGGGTCACGAAGAGTCGGAATTGAATCCATGGCAGCGAGTTTGGTTTTGGTCCAGACTCGGAATGACGGGGAAGAAAGGCCTGGGAAGAAAGGGCTTCCCGAAACCAGACAAGGCAAACCCTCTGGCTTCCCGTGGTCCTGTCCCGCCCTTCTTGGGGAGGGAGGGGGCCAGGGAGGATCATCTCGAGTCCTGGCCAGCTGCAGGAGCCATCCTGCCCCTCGGCTGTGTGTGTCAGTAAAGTTTTATTGGCACATGGTCCGCCCTGCTGGTTGAGGTGGTGCTGTGACTGCTGTCTGTCGTGTGTCAGAGATGTGTGGCTGCCCGACTGAGCTTCCAGACCACTGGCCCTAGACAGAAACGCTTGCTGAATCTATTCCCGTTTGGGGAGCTAGAGCCCTTCCGAGTGCCCAGCGCCCACCTGATGGACGTCCACCATGCTCTGTGTCCTTGACCAGAGGTGGGCATGCAGTGGCAGGGGTCTGATATTCCCTGCATGATGGCCTAGTGCCCAGAGGAGGGGCTGGCCCAGAGGTAAAGCTCCCCCGGGAGGAGACACCTGAGCTGCCCTGGGAGGCTGAGGGCTACAGGGACAGGTGGCACCAGGGGCGGGGCATGACTGGAGTTCTGAGTGCCTCCCCAGGGTCTGCTGCTCTCTCTGAGGACTTCCTGCCCAGCCTGGGGCAAAGCACAGGCCCCGGGAGGGAAGGGTTGGGGCCTGAGGTGGGGGGGGGTGTGCTCTTGCTCCCAGCCTCCTTGAGCTCCTGAGACATGACACCAGCCCCGCCCATCCCCACCAGGGACAGGTGTCTCTCCTGAATCCGAGGGGGCTCAGGCTCTGGGCAGCTGAGTTTCCAAGTGCCTGCGACCAGGGTCTGGAGCTGGAGGCCCTGAGGCAGGTGGTTGGGGCCGTGGTGGGCAGAGGGGTTCTCACGGCTGATAAGGAGTGAACTACCTGGGGGTACTGAAGCCTGCGAGGGTGGTGGAGAGGCCACAGCGAGACTGCCCGGCAGCCGGTGTCTGGGCAGACCCAGGGCCCCAGGCCTCCAGGCCTCCGCTGGCCATGGGAGAGGCTGTAGGAGGAGCCTCGCAGCTGGGGCGTGGCTTGGTGCCCACCACTTGTTTCCATAAAGTTTTATTAGCACACTGCTACGCCCACTGGACCCATGCTTTGAGGGAATGGTTTCACCATTCAGCCACAGAGCTGAGTCCCCAGACAGCGCCAGCACGGCTTGCCAATGGCCATGTTGGCACCCTGGCCCCTTTGGGACACCCTTGCAGCCCTGGGCTAGAATTACAGCTGCGGCCTGGGAGAAAGGGGTGTGGCTTTCGCCGCACCATCCCGAGGTCTTGTTGCCCCGTCGGGGTAAGAGCCGGGGCTTAAAGCAGAGCCTTGGGAAGCAGCCCTGGTGGCACAGCGGTGGAGCGATTGGTGGTTCCCACGCACTGACAGCCCAGCAATAGCAAGGCCCGGGCATCTGATGGGCGCCGTCGCTGAGAGCCCGCCCTGGCACACGGCCCCCCGCAGCAAGCTCCCGCGCAGCGAGAGGCATTGGCTGCTGCTGGTGGAGTTACGTGCACCCGGGGCCATTACCGGTCACATTGGGGATGACCTTTGGAGGATTCCAGCCCGTCACTGAGGCCCCCTGTCCCCGCAGGCACGCGGAACGCAGTGCTCAACACGGAGGCGCGCACCATGGACGCGGACGTGCTGAGCCGCCGCTGCGTCCTCATGCGCTTGGTGGACTTTTCCTACGAGCAGTACCAGAAGGCGCTGCGCCAGTCGGCCGGCGCCGTGGTCATCATCCTGCCGCCCACCATGTCCGCTGTGCCCCAGGACATCATCCGAGTGAGCGCCGCCCCTGCCTCCTGCAGCCTTGCCTCCAGCTTGCCCCGCCCCCTGCACCCCAGCTACTGCTCTCCTCTCCCACCTCTGCCCTTCCCCCGCCCCCTGCTCTGCTGCCTCCCCGCTTCTCTTGACTTTCCAGTCTTCTCCCACTTCCCTGGCACCCCCCACCGCCACGCTCCCCTTGGCAGGGGTCCGGGAGCCTCTGGAGCCAGCTGTGTGCTTTTGGGAAAATGCCCACCCCTCCCTGAGGTGGAGAGCAGGGGTGAGGCTTGTCACCCTGGATTCTTGGTTCACATCCTGGGGACATTTGTGGGTATCCACCCTAGGGCGCCTTCTCCCAGCATTGGTGGGTGGGACCCCGAGATGATGCTTGGCACCCTCCAGTGCTCAGGTCACCTCGTAGTCCTCCAATCCCCTGCAGCACACCAGTCACCCGCAGTGCCCAGGTTGCCCCAGAGTGCCCCAGTCACCATGGTCATAGCCACCAGACCATAAAGCCCTCATTGGCTGGGTGCCCACCTCATAACTGAAGATGCCAAGGGTCTGTCAGTGTGACCTGCCCCCCATCCATGATGGCCATCCAGTGGTGCTCTCAGGGGCTCCCCAGATGTTGCCTGTTACCGAATCCCCGCACCCAGTACCACCTCACTGTTCCCTGTAGTGTGGTGTGGTGGTGGTGGGGGGGAGCAGATGCCACTGTGAACAGCAGCCGAGCACATCGGGCTGTTTATTGGGGTGGCTGCAGTGACCGCCACCTGCAGGGGTGCCTTGGAACAGAAGATGGACCAGAGGACAGGAGACCCTGGGAGGCGTGGGCAGGGCTTGTACCCCATACACTGCCCTGCCGTTCCGTGGGGGTCCATGGATAGAGCTAGAGGCGGCAGCTCACTGGGGTCCTTGTAAGTGCAGGGCTGTGCGGCTCAGGGCCCCGTCGCACCTCGTGCACTGCCAGCCTGACTGGAGGCTCCTGGGGCTTTGACACTAAAGCAGGTGTCCGCAGAGCTGCAAACCCAGTGGTCAGGAGGAAAGACGTGGTTGTCCACTATGAAAATCAGCCCATGAAAGCCCTGGCTGGCTGGTCCAGTCTGGTGCAGGGATCTTCATGTGTCCTGGCTGCTCAGCTGGACTAGTGATGCCCACAGGGGTCTGGTCCAGATCAGGGTCACCCCATGGACCTAGTTGCGCCCCTAAGGGTCTGGCCCAGATCAGGGCTGCTCCCTGGGTCGCCCTAAGCAGGAGGCACCAATAGCTGCTCTGGCCCCATTGTAGCACCTTGGGAGCCTAGGCATCTGGGGTTAGTGGGGCGGGGCCTCAGCTTGTCACGCAGCCGGGGTGCCACCAACTTCGAGCACCGTCTGACTGGCCTGTCCCTGCCCCACGTAGCAGTTCATGGCCATCGAGCCCGAGATGCTGGCCCTGGAGACCATCGTCCCCGTGTACTTTGCCGTGGAAGACGAGGCCCTGCTCGCCATCTACCAGCAGACCCAGGCCGCCTCCGCCTCCCAGGGCTCTGCCTCCGCCGCTGAAGGTGGGGGGATTGGGGCGGGGGCGGAGGGAAGCGCAGCAGACTCTGTTGGGAGACAGGGCAGGAGGGGGCTTACATGTCTCACTGAATGCTGACGTCCCTCAACAGAAAGTGAGAGGGCTTCAGGGAGGGGTCGGAGAACCCCGGGGGCGGGGGTTGGGCACAGCATTTCAGGGTCCTTCTTGTACGGTTCATTGGCTCTCGCTCCCTGGGGGCTGCGCGTGGCTGCGCGCTCGTTCTAGTCCGAAGGTGGGCAGTTCACCCCACTGGCGCTTCAGGAAAAAAGAGGCGTGGCCATCTGCTTCTGGAAGGTCGCCGCCTTGGAAACCCCGCAGGCTGGTCTCTGAAGCCCGGACCCCGTGCATCCGCGCTGCCAGGGGGCTCTGAGGCGCGCTGCCCCGCGGCTGCCCACCTGCTGTGTGGCTCCCTGAGCTGGCGGGGCCCAGGGGCTTGGTTGTGAGCTAAAGGCCCCCAGCCGCCCCATGGAACAGGAATGAAAAGGAAGGGACTTTCCCCCGCCGCCGCCGATCCCAAGCCCCTCCGCGGGGTCTGACGCGCAGACACCCTTGCTGCGAAGCGTCCTCAGGCTGCTCCGCCAGGGATGACATGCGCACTTCATCTCGAGCCCCAGAGCCACGCCCCGGGCTGAGGACACCTGCTGAGCGGGGTTCACTGCTTTTCTGAGGGTGGGGGGGCGGCGGGGAAGAGCAAGGTGGCAGAAATCAAAACAGCCCCGCTCAGATCAAGTCCATGAGTCTGATTTTAGCCCAAATGGCTGATACCAATCTATAATTCCTCTTCAGACTCATATACACATGCAATGACGCTGAGTGCAGAACGATCACAGGCCAGGGGGTGGAAAGTCTTGTGGGTCCAGTGGTGGTGGAAGCATCTTAGAGCTGGCGTAGGTCTCCACGTGGCTCCTCTAGCTCCAAGGCTCTGGCTCCATCGGCATAGCTCCATGTGGCTTGTCTACAGGAATGCTTTGCAGGGAGTGAGTGTGTGTTCTACCACGCCTCCAAATGAAGTCATCAAGCTGCGACCTGATTGACAGGCCAAACCCACCCCTTTGCAAGTTGACAGGAGATTATGTAACTGCCACAGCAGTGGACTGCTAGTAGCTCCGAGGTCAGCAGTTCAAACCCACCAGCCGCTCCAAGTGAGAAAGACGAGCCATTTGCTCTGGGGAAGATTGAGGGTCTTGGAGCTCTAGGGAAGGGTTCTCCGTCCTAGCAGTACACTGCAGTTGGAATGGGCGGCAGGGACTTGGCTGGGGTGGGGTGATCTTTCAGGAGTAGATCACCAGGCCTTTCTTCTGAGTTGCCTGCCTGTGGTTGAGCTCAAATGCATTGGCCTGCTTGTACCACCCAGGGGGTTCCTTGGCCGCTCGCAGGGGTGGGGTCAGGTAGATAAGACAGGACAGATGTGTGGGGTACCCACGCAGCAGGCAGTAGGCATGTGGTTGCCAGGGTCTGGGGGAAGAAAGGATTTCGACGTCCTTGGAAGCTGCTGTGCCACCTGACGGGCCTTCTGTTCTCAGTGCTGCTGCACACGGCCACCGCTAATGGCTTCCAGATGGTCACCAGTGGGGCCCAGAGCAAGGCCGTCAGCGACTGGCTCATCACCAGTGTGGAGGTGAGTGTTAGGCCAGGGCTACGGAGCCTAGGAGAAGCCAAGGGCTGGCTGCCATGCCCACTAGCCCCAAGAGAGGGAGCTCAGCAGGGAGTCCCAGCACAGGGGTTTCCTGTGGTGCCCAAACCATTCCTGCAGCCCCTTTGTCCCCTTCAGAGCACTGCCTGCACCAGCTGGCCTCCCTGCCTTCGCCTGGGCTGCTCCAGGGAGGAGCTTGGTCTGTTTTCCACGGCAGGATTCTTGTCATGTCCGTTTTTTAAAGATAGTTTGGGGAAAATATACACAGTAGGACATGCCCCACTTCATCTATCCCCACAGACAGCTCAGTGACATGACAGACCCTCCCAGGGTTACAGCGATCCTGCCCCGTGAACACACACATTTCCCACAAAGCCTCTGGCTGGCTGGCTACCCGAGAGCTGCCGTGGTCACGTGGACGCCCTGTGGATCGTTCTTTAAGGACTCCGGGTGCAGAAGGCGCTGTTCTTAACTGATGCTGCTGCACTGCCCTGATGGTCAGGAGACTTCAGGGCTCCAACAGTCTGACTTCCTTGAGTGGAATTCTGTTTGGCATTACTCCCCTTTTGGTTTGTACAACCTTTGATCACAACAACGCCGCTCCTTTTTACATAAAGTAGGATACCCCGCTGTTAGACCCAGTTTCCCGCAGAGTGTTGGGAGGACGTGTCCCCGTTCTCGGGTTGTAATGGGCTCAGCTTGGCTCAGAGACTGGGCCGGCTTGTCCCAGACGTGGACTGGGCCCCCCCCCCCCCCAACGACTTCCACACATCTTGGCGCCCACAGTGTGGGAGTGGGTGCGGCCTCTCACGGACTCTCCTGGCAGGGGCGGCTGACTGGGCTGGGCGGAGAGGACCTGCCCACCATCGTCATCGTGGCCCACTACGACGCCTTTGGCGTGGCACCGGTACGTATCCCTGCCGCCCTTTCCCACGTCCGGGGCTTGGGGGGATGTGTGTCACCTCGCGCGGCCCTTTGGGGCCTCTAGGCCACGTCTGAGCGGGTAAGCATGTGGTCCCTGACCGTCTCTCCGTCCATCCGCCCGCAGTGGCTGTCCCATGGCGCCGATTCCAACGGCAGCGGCATCTCCGTGCTGCTGGAGCTGGCCCGCCTCTTCTCCAGACTCTACACCTACAAGCGCACCCACGCCGCGTGAGTGCCCGCCCCTTACTCATGGCCTGCCTGGCGCCCCGCCCAAGCGCAGCAGGCTCTTACGGACAGGCCCCTTTGTGCCTGCTTGGGGCGCCATTCTCGCCCCGCTTGCCCCTCAAAACACAGACACACACACACGGCGGGGCATCGCATCCTGGACACTAAAGGGCTTTGAACATGACTCAGGGCTGCGTCCACCCACTCTATGCCAGTAGCATCAGCCCCACCCTTCATGTGACAACCACAAATGTCCTCAGATACCACCCAGTGCCCGGGTGTGGGGTGAGGGTGGGGGTAAGAATCACCCCCAGCTGAGGGCCCCTAGGTTAGGGCCTTCCACTGACACTGAGGCTCTGCATGCTGTAGTCACCTGACCTGGCACCCTAGTCCGCCGTCCCCATTGGCATCTACACACCGAAATCCACTCCTGTCTAGTAAGGTCCCCGCCCCGCACC